TTTTTGATTTTCCTCATGTAAATAAATGCAATTTAGTGTACCTGCAAACATCTAGTTATGCATACAAAGATTGAGAAGGCTCTCTCTATTGCAATTAAAAGTAAGAGACTTAAAGTCCATCTTAGAGAGAGAGTTAGCACCCAGGAGCCCTTAGTGTCCTGTAGGTCTCTCTGGGGTACCTTCAAAGATACACTGGGGTCTTAAGGCTCTCCTCTCATCGTGTGTTCTTCATTCCAAACAAAGTTATGATCTCTCCCAACTGCACAGCACTAATTTATTTATTGGTCAAGATATACTAATCGATGGAATGAGTAAACAGTGCATAAAAGCATAGGGTAGCATTCCCTGTCCCATCCCCCCCAAACTATGCATTTTGTCTTGGGAGGGGCCATTCAGGCACCAGGTAGTCTTTCTGCCTCCAGGTCTTTACTTCTCTCTCTTCCTGCCCAGAGCTTCTAACTTCCACTGAAAGGTCACCTCCTTGGAGAAGGCTTTCCTCTCAAACAAGCTTGATGTCACCTCGGACTTCACCACACTTACCAGCCTCTCATTTACATAACCACGTACGTAAGCCCTTCCAAGACCAGGACACACCCTTTCTCTGCCTGCACTCAAGTTTGGACATTGCTCGTCTTTAGTCCTGGGTCCTCTTACCTGTCTCGATAGCAGGTGCTTTTTCAAGTTGAAATGCATCTGGGCAAGTTTGTTTACAAGGGGGCTTCAAAAGTTCATGGGAAAATTCCGTGATCTTTTTATTCCAGTTTTGTAAGCACTTTCTTCAACCCCCTCATATATCTGGAGCTTCATAGCTCAGAGCTGTCAGTGACAGCAAATTTCCAGTTGGTAGCAACCAGTTGTTCTAATTTGATAAAAACTGGAATGGTGAGAGGACCCAGGAATACACATTCGAAAAGCTCCCCGGTGAGTCTGAAGGTGGTTTAGTGGATTTCCCCTTGGGCTGCTAACCAGCCATTAGCCAGGAGAAAGATGAAGCTTTCTACACTCATAAAGAGTTAGCCTCAGAACCCCACAGGGGCAGATCTAACATCCTGCAGGAGCCCTGGTGGTGTGGTGGTTATACATGTGGCTTTGATCATCTATACAGTCAGCAGCCTGAAAACATGAGCTGGCTCTCTGGGAGAAAAGCAGGGCTTTCGACTCCTGTAAGTTCGTCTTGGAAACGCACAGGGGCAGTCCTACCCTGTGAGTCAGCGTTTGATGGCGGGGAGTTCGGTCTTGTTTAGGATAGGGTCGCTATGAGTTGGAGTCAACTCGCTGGCAGTTGAGATTCCGATGTTTGTGGTCCATAGACACCTAGGAAATGCTGATAGCTTCCAGTGATCCCTGCCTTCCAGTAGTCACACCTGTGCCATCCCCACCCCGCCACCAGCAGTTAAAACCAGACCTGGACACTTGCTTCTCAGGTGGTGAAAGTGAGGGGGTGTCAGCCTGTGACTTCTGTCCTACTGTCATTCTGACTCTTGCTCTCCAGCGGCAAGGAGACCAGCATAGCATGCGTGTGAGTGTGCAAGGGGGTGATAAGAGCTCCTGGTAGAGATGCTTCTTTGACGCTAGGTTTGATTAGATTGAATCCCGAAATATGGACCCACGCATCATGGTAAAAAAAACTGCCCTTACCAATCCTAACGTATCTACTCCTCCTTACCCACGCTTCAGTCAGAGCCCCCTTTGTAAACAAAGGCAATTTGCATTTACATGTCTCTGAGGACACGAATGCTTCCATTCATGGAAGGATGGAATCAGAGAATTCTGGAAAGTTGTAAGAGAAGCCCTAATGGTACTGTGGGTTAGGCAATGGTTCAAACCCACCAGTTGCTCTCTGGGGGAAACGTGAGGCAGTCTGTTTTGGTAATGATGTATCATCTCAGAAACCCCACGTAAGGTTGACAAGGACCATAAATTGGAAACGACTCAACGGCAGTCAGTTTGGAGGTTATAAATGATGCCTTGTGGCACAACAGGTTAAGCATTGGGCTCCTAATTGCAAGGTCAGCTGTTTGTAACCTACCAGTCCCTGAGAAACACCTGTATCCACAAAGATCCAGGGTCAGAAACCCTAAGGGGCAGTTCTGTTCAGTCCCACCGCTTCAGAGTCGGAATGGACTCCATGGGAGTAGGTTAGCCCTTTGAGCTTGGGGGCATTATAATTAGCACTGGGACCAGTGAGTGCCTCTACTTTACAAGGAACTGGGTGGGGACAAGCTCAAAGCACTGGGAATGAGCACCGTCTACACATTGGAGGGTGTGGCCAAGAAAGGGCTTTATTTCAAGGCGGGGACTCAGAATCAAGACGCCGCAAGCCCAGCAAGCATGTCAAGGACAATGCCGAGACGAGACGAGTCGCCGAGACGAGTTGCCGGGAGAGCACGCTCCAGGAACAGACTCGCGGTGCTGGTGCGTTCACATCCTGGCCCGAGACAACACGCCCTGCTCTCTGAAGCGAAGCCAAGAACCCCGCTCCTCTGGCACTTACGCCCCTGACCCGACTCGGGAAGAGTGTCCTGTGGCAAATCCCCACCTTGGGAAATTTAGCCCGGTTCCGGAGGGGCTCCACTGCCCTTTACACTAGAGCAGGACGGCGCACTGCGGTTCGCGAGCCCTGTGCGGCTTTCTGTGCGTACACGTGGCTCTGAAGGAAACCGGGAAAATGTGAAAGGTTTTGTATGTGAAAGTCCAATTTATGGCTCTTGAATCATTTCTGAATTTGTTGAGAGGGACAGGATTGGCTCTTCTGTCTCCAAATCTTGCCGGTCCCTGCCCTAGAGCATCCCCGGTGCACAGCGGGCCACTAGGCTGAGACTGGCCTGACGGAGGGTGAAGGCATGATCGCTGCTTCCTGCTTCCGAGCAGACAGCTCCGGACGGGTCTGCCGTGCAAACCTGGGTGTCGCCAACTCTTCCCGTCTGGGCCTATGACACAGACTGAGTTGTGCCGAGTAGGGCGGTGACGATCATTCTGCACATCCAGTGCCCATCGCATGCTGCTTCTCAATAAACAGCTACTGCGCGTGAGCATGAACGGATGGAAGGATGGACAGACGGTGAGACTGTCAAAAGGCCCCCTGGCTCCTAAATGGGGATGCAGCCCTCGGCCCTCCCTTCCCCAGAACTCTGCTTTAGAGTAGCCACACAGAAGACACTCGGTTCAGAGCACACTGGTGGATAGGGTTCTCATAGATTTATTTCTGTGTCGTGTTATATACAGATATATGTATATATGCTTTTGGTTTCTGTTTTTATTTTTTTTTTAATACAACCTATTATCCCCTTTTCTTCCCCAGCAAACTCACAAAAAGAATCTGAAATCCTTGCAGGACTACTGTTACTGGCTTTCTGAGATAGCCAGGGCCGAGAAAGACCCACCTCTCCTCTCGAAAGACACCACCCTCTTCTTGGGCTCCGGGACATTGAAGCAGCAGCACTCCCAGGGCCCAGGGCGAGGGGAGGGGACAGGGGACACTTGCAGTGTGGCAGAATTCTAGGGCGAAAGTGTCCAGGGGCTCCTTGGATGGCAGACTGGCTCCCAGCACTCTCGTGGTGAGACTACAGGTGAGGGCCCTATGGCTCTTCAGATGCGGCCAACAGGCCAGGGTGGGAGGAGGAACTGGGAAGTCGGCATGCAAGGGGAGGAGCGGTAGGAGCAGCACACCTGCGGGTTATCCACTCAGGGCTACCACCTCCGAGACAGGTGGGACGGACAGGGACAGAGGTTCCGCTCTCAAAGGGAAGGGAATGGCCGGGAGGAACGTCAGAAAGCCACATACAACAAAAGTACCAACAAAACCATGACCTCACCTCACCTCCGCCCTAGGGAGGCAGGCTCTGTGCTTGGGAGTGGGGGAGAAAAGTGGGGTCCTGAATTAAGGATTGTCAACTGGCCAGGGGCACAGGAAGGTACTTTGAGGATTCCTAAGTGGCAGGCAGCTGAGACCCCACATCCCCAAGGAAATAAACGACAGTCCCTTCAGTTCGACTTGGACCAAATCTTGGCACTCCCTCGGAGCCTGGTAAAGAGAAGAGAAACAGAGGATGCAGGGAGTCCCCTAACCACTGTAGGTTGCTCCCCCCACCCCCCCAATTCCCTAGCCACATACAAATGACTATCGGAAGTGAAGGCAGCCAAGTCCCCAAGGTCAAAGCAAGCAGGGCCCCTGGAAGCAAGCAGTTCTGGTCACACTGGCTTACCCCTTGCCCTTTGAGGTTTTCTTGCTGGGCTGGCGTTGGTTGGTGCCAGGAGCTGGCTCCCTCAGCTCAGTCAGGTGTTGCTCAGGATCCTGAGATGTGGCCGCAGCTGCCGCCGCCGTTGTAACCTTAATGGTTTTCTTCAGGTTGGCAACCTACCAGAAGGAACGGAAAAAGCAAAGAAGGTCCCAGAACTTGACAGACCCTGCCTACTTGTCTCTCCGCTACAACCTCTAGCCAGACCCTTCTGCACAGACAAGCAGCCCCGCCGGCTCGGCTCACCTCACTCTCGATCTGCTGCTTCAGGGCCAGCTGCTGCTCCTTGTGCTGGTTGGCCCGGCTCACTTGCTCCTCGATGCCTGACAGCACCACCTCACAACCCACACACCTGTGGGATGGAGACAGCCCAGAAGAGTCAGGAGCAGAAGGCGGCGATCAAAGATTCAAGGCAGACAGTGGGAAAGAACCTCGAGCCTGTCATCCCAGTGCTGGGCTGAGTGAGGCACCCTCACCAGGGCGCCTGGAAACACCTGCAACGCCCCGCCCCCTGCCGCAAGGAAGCGTCAGGAGCGCTGTGCGAGAAGGGAGGAGGAAGTGCAGCCAAGTGAGGAGGAGGTGCTAACGAGGAGCAGAGGAGGTGTGCTAATGAATAGGCGCAGACGTTAGCCAGGGACACAGGGAGAACCATCCTGATCCATGGACACTGGTGGTTACAGACCAATGGGCCGAATCCAGCCCAGGACAGTGACCAATCTCTGTCAGAACCCGCTCTGGGAGCAGGGCTGTGCCCCTTGCATTCCCCAGTTCCACCAGGGCCTCCTCCACTCCCCATCCTCCCTCTGAAGAAGCCCCCAGAGCAGCGGTTCTCAAGCTGTGGGTCGCAACCCCTTTGGGGGTCGAACGACCCTTTCACAGGGCTTCCCCGATTCATCACAGTAGCAACATGACAGTGATGAAGTAGCCACGAAAGTAATGTTATGTTTGGGGGGCAGCACCCCACGAGGAACTGTCTGAAACGGTAGCGGTGTTAGGAAGGCTGAGAACCCCTGCTCCAGAGGAAGGAGCTCATTCACCTTCGTCCTCTTGGGTGCAGCTGGGCCCAGCCCGGCCTGAAACACCTTTCTCCTTCTTGGGGCACGAAGACAAGGGGCAGTGCCAGGACACAGGCCTTACCACTCCTGCAGCGTCCGGGTGATAGCACTCAGGTCCCGGCGCTGGATGTCCCGCCCGATGCTGTAATCCACCTCCAGCCGCTGGTGGCGCTGGTCCAGGGAGCCTCGGAGCACGTCGGCGTACACCGCCTCAATCACCAGGTCTTCCAGCTGCCGGACGTTACGCAGGGCGAGGGCCTCCAGCAACACTGCGTACGGGATGCACTGGAAACCGGGGCGGCCGGGCTGGGGTTTTGGGGGCTCCTCAACAGGGAAGGACCTCCGAGAAACCTCTTCCTTCTCCCGGAGACCCACCATCTCTCCTCCCGATTCCTCTAAAAGGCTGGTTCTCGGGCAATAGAAATAAAAGCATCTGCCCTGCCGCAGCTCAAAAATAACACCCTAAGAATGACAATCTGAAAACAAAATACAAGACAGAGGCACCCACCCATCCCTATGTCCCATACTAGGGGGAGAAAGTGACAGGTGTCTGGGTGTGGGTGTCAGCCCTTTAGCCTCACACAGCCCTTGGTCAAGAACAGGGTGACATAAAGGAGTGTGGGGTAGTGGGAGAGGCCTGGGGCTACTCTGCTCATTCTTTACACGTAATTCCAAGAGGCATCCTTGCTTGAGACATCTCAAAAGTCATGTAAAAATCAAGAAAAGGAAGGGACAGGGTCATGTAATAAGTGGGAGCGTGCAGACTGACAAAGAAAAAAGACAAGTCAAAACTGAGCCTGCGAGGGGCACAGAGAAACCGCCGCATCATCGGCAGAGATGGCCCGAAGGGCACAGAGAAACCGCCGCATCACGGCAGAGACGCCCCGTTCCCAGCTCTCGGGCTTTGTTCTCATGGGATGTCGCATTCTGAGAAAGAGGTAATTGTGGAACTAAACCATGAACACCCCAGTTGTTATTCTAACCACAATACACAAGCCACATTTTACTGACGACTTAAGTTGATTGAAAATAAAACAGCACACTGAGAATAAAATCCACCCTGCAGAGCTGCCATTAAAGGGTTTTAGATTGCACCGAAGACGCGACAACGGGTCAAAGGCTGTGCCAGTGCGAGCTCCCTGCCAAGGGGCCCTGGAAGACCGTCCGGGTCCTCTTGGGCTGCAGGCTCAGAGAACGGTCACTCACTTTGACTTTAGCAGCCAGGCTGACAACCGATAGGTGTCTCAGCTTATTCTTCTGAGCTTCTGTGAGTGGGGGGAGATTCCGGGCTTCAGCTGGCGGAAAAAAGGACAGATAGAAGGCATTTTTATTTCAGTTTGTGGGAGACTTTAACCTCCATTTCCTGGTTTCTTAAAAACATTTTTTTAGACCTAATTTTCTTTTCTTTTTAATCGTTTTATTAGGGGCTCATATAACTCTTATCACAATCCATACATACATCAATTGTGTAAAGCACATTTGTACATTCACTGCCCTCATCATTCTCAAAACATTTGCTCTCCACTTAATCCCTTGGCATCAGGTCCTCATTTTCCCCCCTCCCTCCCCGCTTGCCCCTCCCTCATGAGACCTTGATAATTTATAAATTATTATTTTGTCATATCTTGCCCTGTCCGACATCTCCCTTCACCCACTTTTCTGTTGTCCGTCCCCCAGGGAGGAGGTCACATGTAGATCCTTGTAATAGGTTCCTCCTTTCCAACCCACTCTCCCTCTACCCTCCCGGTATCGCCACTCACACCACTGGTCCTGTAGGGATCATCCGCCCTGGATTCCCTGTGTTTCCAGTTCCTATCTGTACCAGTGTACATCCTCTGGTCTAGCCAGACTTGCAAGGTAGAATTCGGATCATGATAGTGGGGAGGGGGAAGAATTGACTTAATTTTATTTTCTTATGCCAATCTAGGTCTTGTACCTGACAATAAATAACTAGAGTAGCCAACCAAAGGGGGTACCCCAAGAATGTCTTCTAATTAAGTTCCTCTCCCATCCACTACTCCCGAGCCCCAATCCCTCCCTGATTACCTAGGTAGTCAGCATATGTCCCATATGCAAACACCGTGAGCAGCCGAAATGTGGAAGCAAAGTCACTCTCAGCCAGCTGGAAGGGAGAATACGAGGGAAGAGAAGAGGTGACCGGAAGGGCTTCCCACTCCACCCTCCCAGCCTTCCCGCTTTAAACTCCATTTCCTTGTCATCACCCCCACCTTCCACCTTCAGGCATTTTATGTTATTCCCAAGATCCACAATGCCTTCTTCCTCACCCGCCACCCATTCCTACCCCAAAATTCTGGGCGAAAACATTGAGAGTGCCACTACCTAAAGACACCAGGCATTTCGAACTGTGTTGACTCCTGAATATTTCTCTATGAATATATTTCTGTGTCTTTCAACAGTTAGCTGTACTCCCAAAGCCTCCTACCTCAGCCTCCCATCTCTGATAGCCTAGGTGGACATCAGAATCTGCAGCCTCTGCTTCAGAACCCCCTTACCCTGGATGCTTCCACTCCCCGCTGCAGCCCGCCTCTCTTCCTATCACGGGTCATTCAGTCCGGCACGTCACCAGCCAAGGTTGTTACCTAACAATAGCTTTCTTGTCCACAAGATGATAGATCCAGTCTCCAGCATTCCACTTAAGATCTAGCAGAGCTATGCATGCTGTTTGATCTCTCAGTAAGTGCTCCCTAAGTGACTTAGATAGATGTCTATCTATTTCCCCAATCTCTTCAACTAGAATGTAAGCTTCAGAAGGGTAACCCCCATCTGTGCCTTGTACTTTCCCGGTGTTTCCAGATGACTCGTGGAGTGCTAGCCAGGCACTCAGTAAACACTTCTTCTACTGCAGGGAAAGCCGAGGGAATTACTATACCAGAGTGACTCAAAAAGACTCAATTCACGGACTCAGGCCAAGGCCTTCAAACACTTGGCTTGGCTGGCTCACTGTCAAAGCATCTCTATACCTGGCTTGGTACCAGATACTTGGCAATACTGGCCCTTTAAACTCTGAACTCTGCCCTTCTGTGGGAACAGCTCCGGCTGCTGTGTTCCTGGCAGCTTGCTATGTCTGGGGAGACAAACACACCTTCTACCTTTGATGAATAACACATGGGGCAGAGAAGGGACAGTGGGCCGTGCTAATTCAACATGATGAATCCTCCCAGTGCGCCACAATCGCACCTGATTCTCAGCATAACCGTGGAGGAGGCATTATGGTCTCCATGTCCAAAAGTGGGAACTGAGGCCCTGAACAATGTGATATGATGAAGAGTTTACATCACTGGAGACAGGCTGAAACTCAGCTTGCTTGTTATGAATCTCCCGCCATCTTTCTTAAAAGTGACCAAGACTGACTGACAGTCCTCTCCTCTCTGAAAGGTAACTTAAGTTCACTCGCTAACTTTTGCAGGCTGCCAGTTTCTCAGAGGCATGGTGACAGAAGAAATAGCAAAATGAACCACGGAGGCTTGGCTGTGAGCGAGCCAGGCCAACAACCCACCTCTCTGACATTGGGCATATCCAGCAGCTCCCCAAACACGTAGACACCTGGGGCCTCCAGCACCTGGTGGATGAGTGTGGCCAGCGCTGCCCCCTTGGCCGACTTGGCCAGCAACAGAAACTGCTCCTGGTTCTGGCCCGTCACCTTCACCTCCCCACTCATGGCTGCGCTGAGCTGGGGCGGTTGGGCTCCGGATGTGGGGAGCTGCAAGGGAAGGCGGCGTGAAGCGGGAGGGGCTGAATGGCAGGGCAGTGAGTGGCTTCGAACAACCCGGAATCAGGCGAGGGCACGGTTGGAACTTGGACCGATGATGGATCGTTCCGATGAGAGCACGCAGGAGACGGGAATGCCACACCTCCCTGCTCCCCCCGACCCCTGGGCCTGACCCCAAACCCTACCACGGCCACCCCCGCCCCCCGGCACGAATCCCCGCGCGGAAAGATGTCACATGGTGTCCACCGCGACAACGCCTTCCCTTGGTTTTCCCCTCGTGCCCCACACGTGCCCCCAGCCACGTGACCTCGCCCCCACGCTCCAGACGCGCGGCTCCGCCCCTTCTTAAAGAAGCAGCCCCGAGGCCGCGGGCGCCAGCTAGCCGCCCTGTCCTACCCTCGGTCGGAGGCTCTGGGCCGCTACCTGGAAGCCTCGTCGGCCAGCGCACCAGGCGGGGCCGCGGCTCCGTCACCTCCGGCAGCCGCTCGGAGCCTTCCTGCCACCGCCCCACCCCCAACCAGGGTCGGTCTAGCCGCTAGACTCGATGACCGACTTCCGGCCGCACTTCCGCCCCACGACTCCCGTTCCAGGCGAGACGGGACCGGCTCCACCTTCCGGCCGTCAAAGCGCGGGAGGGGGGGGGGAAACCGCGCAGGCGTCCTGCTTTCTGATTGGCTGCAGGGAAGACTGACGGGAGCCTGGCCCCGCCCCCTCGTTGGTTCACCAAAACTTCCTGGTTGGATGGGGTGTGGATGTGACCCGGAGCGGCCACCTACGTTAGCGCCGAGGTGTCTGTCCTCCGAGACTGGGACTCAGGAGTGAGAGGGAAGGGAAAGGCAGGGGAGGAGTGGGGTGGGGGGGAGATTCTAGCAGAAGGTAAGCGGCAGAGATCGCTCGGAGAACGGGGGGTGCAGAGTAGAAAAGGGGCAGGAAAAATAGCTCACACGTATTGAGAACTTGTTTTTGTCCAGGCATCACTTGCATTTTTATTCTATTAAATTCTCAACCTCAGCCTGACTGCAGGACTCCCTCTGCCCGGAGTACAACGTACGTCCTTGGGCAGTGCAGTGTTGCTTTCCGTACGTGGACGCTTCCAATTTCTGGGGAAGGGAGGCATCTGTTGTTACTCGCATTTTACAGGTAAGATCTGTTCGAATCCGAAGTTCACCTTCCACTTCATCTTAATACCTGAGGAGAAATAAATAATTGGCGTTTCTACGGGAAAAGACCTCGTAGTGGGAGAGATGAGCCATAAAATTGAGGAGATGGAATGAAAGACTTAATATTTCGTTTGGAGGGACCAAAGAACTTGATGAGTTCAACTTTATCACTTTGAAAGTGTAAGTAGACAAAAATAAATTTAAAAAATAGCAACAACAGAAAGTGTAAGTAGAAAGGAAAAAATAATGAACATTTGTTCTAGTATATAGCAGGTACTTTGTTCAGTTTTAAAATTCTCAGTCTGTGTGACAACCTTTTGTAGTGCATATTAATATCTAATTTATCTTAGTGGACACTGACTATCACTAATAGTCCTTTAAAGGTCACCAGTAAGTGGTAGAGCTGAGATCCAAGTGCAGTTTTTAAATCGCCCAATGTTAAAACTTAGGAAAAGTAGAAAAGGAGAGAAAGGAAGTGGGGGGAAAGAATGAGTAACTTGAGATGCCACTCCGAGTCAGCCTTAAATAATTTGGGACCTTAAAACAAACCATGCCACCTTGTGAGATCTCAAAATAAGAGATTATATGGCAGAGTCTCTAGGGCCAATTTTGATTCTGATGTTTAATGGATCTATTAGAGAGAAATGACAGTGATTCTAGGAAAACCAGACTGTGGAGAAAGAAAAGAGAGGGAAGGATGGCACTGTGAAGTGAGGTTTATAAAGTTGAGAAGAGGGAAAGATGCAGAGGTGAGAAGACATAAAGGACCAGAAATGGGGAATGAAGAAGGGATAGAAGGAAAATCAAGTTCCCTACGGGGAGGATGGGAGCTGAGTAAATTTACATAGAGCCTGGCTGTAGGGTTCACTCATTGGTTACAGAGTGACAGTTGTGTACAAAACTATGGTGGGTTTTTTTTTAATCATTTTATTAGGGCTCGTACAATTCTTATCACAATCCATACATATATCCATTGTGTCAAGCACATATGTACATTTGTTTCCCTCATCATTCTCAAAACATTTACCTTCTACTTTAGCCCTTAATATTGGCTGCTCATTTCCC